CACAGAGTTCGGGAAACCTGACTACCAGCCGGCCTCAGAACCATAAAACTGAGTTTTAGAGCTGTACCCTCATTAGGAGATAATAGAATGAGTTGCCCAGTCATAAAAATAGAGACACAAGCAATACCCACGCATTGAGTCAAGAAGATCCAGCGTTCAACATCCTAAACTGGAAACAATGTATTAAGAATACATCTGCGCCAGCCTAATAGATGAGGAAGGGGTGCGAGGCTGGTCAACAGATAGAATCTGTTTACCCCTTAAGTCTTTGCCTAGGAGGCCTTCTACAAGACAGCAGCTGGATGCATGTAACATCTGCCCAAGATGAGTATTTTTATCGAGACACCATCTCTAGCCTTTACTTAACCAATAGCCCCAAGGCAGGGGGTGTTTTAATTCAGAGTTAACTTCTCCTAGCCTTTGCCTAAAAAAGCGTATCCTACAAGGCAGTAGGACATGGAGCAGGTTGTACTGGGTTACATGTTACCAGTAGCAGGAAAACCTGACCTGACCTTAATCTACCATCAACAACGAGGATATCAAGCTGGCAATCGAGCAGGACTCCAGCCAAACATGTCCTTGCCTTAAGATTTAATGTGAGTGATGAAACTATTTATTCACATATGCATTAACTTGGAAAACGTTGGAAGTTGAGCAAATGGGTACCTTATGAGTTGAGGGAAACAAACAAGCTGCAATGCTTAACCATCTGTTCTCATTGCTTTCCCGCCACAATTTAGTGCTATTTTTTGAACGGATTTTGACATGCAACGAAAAATGGATTATGTATTGCAACAAAAAACAAACATAGCATTGGCTAGCCAGTAGCGATCCAGTAGCGATCCAGTACCGATGATTCCTAAACCACGTATTCACCAACAAAAGGTTTTACTGTGTGTATGGTGGACTACAGCAGGTATCGTTCACTATGAATTGCTACCATAAGTTATGAGCAAAACCAAATATAATTTCATGTAAATCTTATAATGTTTTGTATCAATAAGTAGATTTTTTTTGTTTACATTGATTTTTAAAATATATACATTTTTCAGAAATATTGTTAAATTCTTTAAATTTACAATAGACAAAAATGTCAAAAACTTAAAAGATGCGCATAGCAATATATAATTGATATATAATACAAAAGATTTTTTTCCTTTTTTTTTTAATTAGAAACTTCAAGATAAAGTGCACTTTTTTTAGGAATTGCGATTGTGCCCCCTCCCCAATGTATCGTTGGCCCTCAAATGTATGTATATATATATATACATATATATATATATATATATATATATATATATATATATATATATATATATATATATATATATATATATATATATATATATATATATATATATATATATATATATATATATATATATATATATATATATATATATATATATTAATAGACTGCAATCTGAAAGAATAAAGAAAACACTGTTGATCTTTTTAAGGAGAAATTAAATCTAAAACTTACTATAAAAACCAACTTAAAAATTGTAAACTTTCTTGATGTTACCTTCAACCTGTTAGAAAATACTTTCCAGCCATACAGAAAACCAGGTGACCACCCATTATACATCAATGTAAATTCTAACCACCCTCCTAGTATTTTCAATATAAATGTAACCAGAACTTACAAAAAACCTGATAATTTGATAATTTGCTAAATACAGCTAAAGTAATTGCTAAAAACTTAGGCATTGACAACAGGATGGAATATCTTGCAATAAATACTGCGTTTATAACAATAAAGGATCACAAAGATGGTTTTGCCAACAATACTAATTGTCGATTAATTAATCCATCTAACAAGAACTTAGAAAAGTTAGTAAAATTTTATTGGAAAACATCAACAATAAAGTGAGAAAAGCCACCCTTGTAAATCAATGGCATAATAGGGATGATGTAATAAATTGGTTCCACAATATTAAAGACAAACACAACTGTACTTTTATCCAGTTTGATATTAAAGAGTTCTATCCTTCTATCTTTAAAGAAGTACTTCAAATTTCACTTATTAACGCCAAACAATTTACAGAAATTTCAGAAAACACATTAGATAATATCAATCAATCAGAAAATCATTACTGTTTTTGTAAAATAAAGAGTTGTACTCTTTATTTTATATACTTTATGTCAAGACTATAAGTTGCAAACCATTGGATTATATAGAGATGATAAGCTTCGTTGTTTTCATGGAATTAATATACTGCAATCCAAGAGAATAAAGAAAACATTGCTTACCTTTTTAAGGAGAAATAATATCTAAAACTTGCTATAAAAACCAACTTTAAAATTATAAACTTTCTTGATTTTACCTTCAACCTGTTAGAAATCACTTTCCAGCCATACAGAAAACCAGGTGACCACCCTTTATACATCAATGTAAATTCTAACCACCCTCCTAGTATTATTAAATCCATACCAACCCTGATATCTAACCGTATTAGCAATATTTCATCTAGCAAGGAAGTTTTCTAAAGAGCAACATCATTTTATAACAACGCGTTAGCAGCAAGTGGGTATAATGAAAAGATTATTTTCCAAAAAAATATTGCCCCATCAAAACTAAAATCAAGATCACAAAACATTATTTGGTTTATTCCTCCCTTTTCGCAAAATGTCAAAACCAATGTCGCAAAAAATTTTCTAAATCTTATTGAAAAGCATTTTCTAAAAACAAAAGTTTCGCAAAATTTTTAATAGGAATAATTTAAAAGTTAGTTATAGCTGTCTTTCAAACTTCACCAGTTTTATTAACTCACACAATAAAAAAGTATTATTTAACGTTTCCAACACAATTATTCCAACATGTAACTGCCGGCAACCTTCACAATGTCCTTTGCAAGGTACGTTTCTTAGTAAAAATATAATTTACATCTGCAATATAAAAACATCACTGCAGGATAGTGGTTTAAATTATATTGGTTTAACAGAGCACACCTTTAATGATTGCTGGTACAAGCATAAGAGCTCCTTTCAATACGAAAATAAAGCTAATGCCACAGAACTTTCTAAATATATTTGGGAAATGAAAAAAAAGGGATTTTATAATCCTATTATTATGTGGAAGATTATTGATAGGGCGGAACCTTTTAAACCTTGAAGAAAGTTATGTAGCGGAAAAATACCATATCATTACATCATCTTTGAAACTATTAAATAAAATAAATGAATTAATATCTAAATGTCGCCACAAAAACAAATTTCTTATCTGCAACTTTAACGTCATCTAAGCTAACACTGTATTGTATTTTTGCATATAATTTTTGTTATTGTTATGGTTGTTTGTAATGTCTGATGATTGCATAAACTGTAAAACTCTGAATTATGTTACAAATTTAATTGTCTTTTATTATTACTTTAATATAATATAATATAATATAATATAATATAATATAATATAATATAATATATATATATATATATATATATATATATATATATATATATATTATATTATATTATATATGAAAAAACATTGCGATGTCATTAAGAAATGACATCGCAAATGGTGGACACTTTTTTCTAATGGATAAAAATAACTAATTTTAAAGAGGAAAAAAGAAAAAAAAGAAAATATTTATAAATTAAAGGAAAAATAAAATCATCTAAAAAGAAGAATAAATATTTTAAAAAAAGAAAAAAAAAAGAAATACCTAAAATAAAATAAGTAGAGAAGGGTTGAAAATAGAAGTTAAAAAAAAAAGTTAATAATTAAAATAAATAAAAAGAATGGAAAAAAAAATAGACATACAAAGAATTTTTTATTTTTTTATTTATTTCTTTTGTTTTATTTCATATATTTCTTTAGTTTTCTTTCATGTATTTCTTAGAATTCTTTATTTACAATTTATTTTTTAGTTATGCTGTTATGCGGTCTTGTAATAGTGATTTTTCTTTAGTTTTTTAGCATATAAAATTTTACTTATTCTTTTAGTTATTTATTATTTTTATTATTAGTTAATAATGATTTTTATTATTAATCATTAATTATTTATAAATAGTGATATCTAACTTTTTTTATACAGTTATATATTTTTTGTTTTTATTATTATTTTAACTATATACTATATATATTTTATTCTACAGTGTATTATTATTACCTTTTAGTTTCTTTATTTATTACTTTTAGTTTTATGTTGTTGTTCTTTTTTTTTGCCAAAAGAACTTAACATAATTTTTTGTTTTGCTTGTAATGTTTGATTTAACTTTAGTTTTGTTTTGATTTTCTCAGTGTTTTTCTGTTTATATTTACTTTATTTATTTAGTCATATTATTTGCCATATATTTTGGTTATTTTATTATAGGAACTATGTTAATATATTTACTGAATTTTTATAATTTTTTCGCCAGTAGTCATTTTTATGTTATTGTTAGTTGTTACGTTTGGTCAGTTTATTAATGTTTGTAACTGTAACTTTATATGTATAAACGATTGCTGTATGAAAAATTATACTTTCCATACAACAATTGTTTCATTTATTTTACAATAGATTTATTTAAATTATTATAATTACTATATTATCATCACTATCATTAAAATAACATGTTTTATTATTATTGTTAAAACAACATGTTGTTATTATTATTATTTGTTATTATTATTATTATCTATTATTATTATTATCTATTATTATTATTATTATTATAAATATTATTTTTAGTAATATATATATATATATATATATATATATATATATATATATATATATATATATATATATATATATATATATATATATATATATATATATATATATATATATATATATGTATGTATATGTGTATGTATATATATATATATATAAATATATATATATATATATATATATATATATATATATATATATATATATATATATATATATATATATATATATATATATATATATATATATATATATATATATATATATATATATATAGACACACACACACACAAATCATTTTAAAAAGTAGACCAATTTGGTACTATTTAAAGAGTTTACCTGGTTCTGTCCCTCTTCCCCTTCCTCTACCCCTTCCTCTTCCTCTACCACGGTTTTCCATACTTATTGTTAAGTCTTTCAAGAGTGATAAAACTTTTTTTTCAACTATTTTATGGGATGATGAAGTCTGCAAACCCTATTTTATACATCGATTTATTTCTAAGAATTTTATTACTAATTCTGTGAAAACTAAGGATTTACTTTATCAGTGTAAAAATAACACGAATAAAATATATTCGTCGATTTTAAAACTCGTTTCGGCAGTTGTGAGTAAAATTTACCGACTAATAAAATTCGTAGAGGCGCTAGCCACCCCTACTCCCTCTTCCTCGGGACGGCCCTGATATTAACAATTTTGATAAACATTTCGATTTAATTTTAACAAATACATTTAGGCAGCTCATCAACTTAAAAAAGTCGAAGTTTTTGTCGCAAAATGTATCAAAATTAACAAAGTAGCTCTCGTAAAGCTTGGAAAAGTGGAGGTTAACACAAACTTCAAATATATAAATAAATTAAATAAAAAATGAAATAATTATTAAAGAATATTTTTCAATATTACTGCATTTGTGAACAAAACTTAATTCATAATTATATAAATATAATTATAAGTTATAATATAATTATAAATTAAGAACATAAATGATAAAATTTATTACATTTAATATGAACATTTTCTATTCAGGTTTTTCTGTCCTTACGGTCTTATCACAGAGCCTTCCCAACGGATGTCGCAAAACTAGACCAGAGGTGGGATTTGAACCAGGGATCTTACGTTTCTGAGGCAAGTGCGCTACCACTGCGCCACGGCTGCATAAAAAAAGTTTTAAACCATACCGATTTTCCATTCGCCTAGATTCTTTTCTTATTTATTTTAGTAAATCTCTCCCACTGATATATCCTTTTGATATAGTCATTGTTTTGGTGGTTTTCACCTAATGATTTTAGGCGTCAATCACATTTGGAGTTAATACGGGAAGTTGAATATCGTTTTTCAATAATGGTTAACTATTCAATGTACTTTCTATGTCAATCAAAACTTCTTTAAACTGCTCGAAAGTCAGAAACATCGTTTCAGTTGCTTTATGTAATAATTTTTTTACCAAAATCTACTATTTTTTTAAAGAAACCTTCTCACCATCAACTTTCTAAATTGAACTTACATTTTATGTTCATTTCACTCACGTATTCGTTTATTTGTTAGTCTTTTTTCAATTAATGGATCCACATTGCATTACTTTCAAATGTTTTAGCATTTTCACTTATTATGAGTGCCAGCGTATCTTGTCTGGCTATCATTTCTTTTATATTTTTTCCCATAGTTTTTAAGATATCCAATTAGATTGGTTTTGAAATTGCACAAGTATTAAGTCCAATGTAGGATTTTTTGTAATAATTTTTGCTTACTTTATATTTTAAAAGACCAGCAAAATCCAAACTAACAGTTTAAAAGGTATATCAGCGGTTGGTGGAGCTAGCAGTGGTTTGCACTGGAACCGTTTGTATTAGTTTCAATTGTATATTATCGATTTTTCTTGTCTACGTAGATTATCTGTCCAATAATGCTCCCGAAGCTTTGAAGTAGTTAAGCCAACCATTCCATGATGTGTTTGTGCATGTGCTTTTTGAATAACTCAGTTTTTAAAGGGATGTTTGCATGGTAAAAGTATTGAGTATTCGCCTTGTATTTAACTCATACAAATTAATGATCCATTAAGGTTTTTTTCAACCGCAACATTTCTGAACTTTCTTTATATTTATCGGATTTTAAAAATTCGTGTTGTACAATTTTGATTAGTTTCTACGTAGGATTACTACGTTGAATTATTGATAACACACCTCGAAATTTTATTTTCTTTTTAAGATTGTTTTTAATTCTTAATATCCATTCTATTATTCTTATAATTTTTTATAGCTAATAGTTATTTAAAAGTTTCCCAAGTAGTTGCACTTCTCGACTGCAATCAGGTGATGTGCTTTTGTCGGTATAACTTTGTTCATTACTTCTTTTATTTGTGTATGGGTTATATTGGGTGAACATTCAATCTTTTTTTGCAAACCATAAGGGTTGTTGAGCCGTAATTGAGAAAGTTTTCAATGTAGTGCCACAGAGCTATTCAGCCAACCATATATCTCAATAACTGGATGCTATTGAGATATATGGTTCCTTCGAGTGTCAATTTAGCATTTGTAAAAGCATTGTCTTCTTTAGCTGCCATGTTTTCTGCAATCAATTTAAGCCAGGGAATAGACAACCCTTGTCAAGAAATGCGTGATTTGACCGTTAGAAGTCCTTGAGTGGGTTTGTTACTTTATTGGTGTTCCGTTAAAAAAAAATTTCACAGTAGTCAGCTCTCTTTTAACTCAGATACAATTTGTTTGTCCCATAAATACTGAAGATAGCAGATTTGTCAACATATTAGTTTTATTCTCATAGAAATATTACAACCCTCTTTAAAGTAGTTAACGAATCCCGGTTCATAATATATAATAATTCTTATTATATTCAGAACCGGGGACTAATTGACCTTTCCCCGTAAATGCAATGCATTATGGTATTTGTATGTACACGGAAGTAAACAACAAAAATAAGTCGAGTAAAATGTCAAATATTGAAAGAACTGAGATTGTCCCAATAGACATTGATGTATTTTATTTCACACTTTAAATTTTTTAGTTCAAATTTTAAAAACTATATTTTTGGAGTAAACTTTGCACTATATAAGACTTCGAAGAAAAGATAACAACAAGTACATCAAACAATGTTTTTCAACTCTAGAACAAAAAAACAAAAAAGAAGTCGAGATTTTACATGTTGTGTATCTAATTACTTTAGCAACTAAGCAAAACATAAAAATTTATTGTTATATGCAATTCCCAACAAAAAAAATATTGAAGAATAAAAAAATATTAATTTCTTATAATAATTTTTACATACTTTTACATCCTTTCAAATGTTTTTTTAATCATAAACTAAAAATAAAACGTATTTCAACGTCTTTTCCACGTCTTTATTTAGGCTGATTATAAAAAGACATAACAAGTAAAAAAAAAGACGTCTTTTATTTGACAAAAGATTTCTTTTTTCCACTGGAAAATTGTTTGATAATGTGTTTTTATTCTCATAAAAAACTGTTTTATAATTAGTTGATCCACTGATAAGTTCTTTAAGTAGAAAACGATCTTTGTACACTCAGTTAATAATAGATTCAAGCTCCATTCTAAAAAAAATCCGCCTAACTTTGTTTTATTTTATTCTTCAAAATTTGTACAATATATATAAGGTCATTTGTACAATATATAAGGTCACGTGATTGTTTGAAAATGTAAACAATATTTTAAGCAGTCGTGGCGCAGTGGTAGCGTACTTGCCTCAGAAACGAAAGATCCCTGGTTCAAACCTCACCTCTGCGAAAGTTTTGTGACATCGGTTGGGAAGGAGGCGTGAATTTCCTATTAAATGCTTTTCCGCGGTGCTATGTGATAAAAACGTAAGGATTTCTTGGGGCACCTAAAAAATTTTACGCTTAAAAATTTGTTTCTAAACAGCCACATATTTCATAACATAGCTAAAGAAAACAATTTTTTGATTTTTATATGCAGAAAGGGTTAAAATTTCAATAATTTGGCGCGGATTACAAAAATAATACGATTTTCATTATCTAATAATAAAATTAAAAATATAAATGCATTAAAAAATGATTTAAAAATAATAATAAATAAGCAAGCCGCACCAAAAATTAGATAGAACAGACATTTATTTATAAATGTTCCAAATTTTAACTATTAGGCATGTGCAATGTTATGAAAGTTGACCCAAGTTAGGTTTTTTGACACAAATTAGTTAACCCAAGACAGGTTTTCCGTAAAAATCACAAAAAATAGAAAAGTGATCCCAAATCGTTAGCAATATTTAAACAATAAATATTTTTATTCCGTTTAATGTAAATATTTATTTAACAAAGACAGATAGGTCTTTTTATTTATTTTATTTGAAGATGAAAGCGCTCATAAGAAAAAAACACAATTATTTTAAAGTTAGTGCATTTTCAAATTTTTTTTGCAGAAATACTTTTTTATTTGATAAGCACAAAAATAACTGTGGCGTCAAGCAGGTTTTATATTGAATGAATCAGCTGTGTAACTCCTTGGTTTAATTCTATATAATAAAATATTTGGTTTAACTCTAATTTATTTAAAGAAAAGCTGCTAAACATAAAATATAACCAGCTATTTTATGTTTAGCAGCTTTTCTTTCAAAACATCGTCTGATACTATATACGTTAATATTTGTTGATGTGTTATGGGAAACAGAGGCGCTGTCTTTTGACAAGCTTCTGTTTAAACGAAATTCCACTACAAATGCGTTGAAATATTTATGCATTGAAATATTTACAATGCATTTATCCTCCTGCGGAGATAATAAATTTGTAGCGTAAATGTTATTAATTATAAGAGAGAAAAGTATTTTCTATGAATGAGCAAGCCACGAAATAATGAAAAATTAAAAAAAACTATGAATTGCAAGTTTTTGATTTTTCTGTACATACAAACATCATAATGCATTGCGTGAAATAATAATAAAGGGAAAGGTCAATTTTGTGGAAAAACTTTCAGCATGCAGTATTGGACAAAACGTTTGCAACCAACATCGAACAATGCTAAAAAGTGTTCCTAATTTTACATGTCTTAAAAACGAAACGAATTATACCACCACAGCAAACAGTTCAGGAGTCTGGAGTCATAGCATGCCATGATATGAGTAATCAGCTGACAGGTGACAGCACACAGGCAGAATTTCTGTAGTGGAGGACCAGTATATTAACAATCGTTTAGTGAGGGTAATTCGTGCTCTTTAGCAGAAGCATCAAAGACAATATTTAGCTTTGCTGTTTCACAATCTTCTTTCATCACCGCTTGATGAGGTGAATAGAATATCAGTTTTCCAGTTGTTTTGATTGGTGCATACTCAACTATTCCGTTTTTGAGTTGTTCTTGAATAATAGCGTTGGATTTAACAAGATCATTTTGGTTTTTTTCAAGTTTTTTTAATAAGCTGTTCAACCTTGCAATACTTCCCATTCGAATAAGATGCTAGTTTATTACATTTTTTGTTCCATAGGAGCCGTGTGTAATAAAAACCGGAGGAGCCTGGTTGTAGTCGGTCTATAAATTCGTTGTATAATTCATTTAGAATTCCTTCTCGTTGGTC